CTTGCCCCGTTGGCTACCAGAAGACCCAGTGGCCCTCTGCTCAAGGTTCCGAGCGTGAGTCTATTGGTGGACTCTACTGCAACAAGGACGGCAAGCTCGAACTGACCCGTGACGGTTACGACACTCTTTGCGAATCTGGTGTCGGTGGTGTCACTATTCAAAACGACCTCGACGAGCAGGTGTGCACTTGCCGAACTGACTACCCCGGAACTGAGAACATGGTTATCCCTGCTGTCGCTGAGCCTGGTAGCAGCGTCGATGTCTGCAACCCCAATCAGGACAAGTACTATGTCTGGGACGGTGTAGGCACCTCAGCCCAATACTACGTCAACAAGAAGGGCTACACTGTCAAGGAGGCTTGTGTTTGGGACAGCTCCACGGGCAAGGATGCCGGTAACTGGGCACCTGTTGTTCTCGGCGTTGGCATGAAGAACGGCTTGACCTTTGTCTCCATTTTCCAGAACTCGCCAACCAGCACTGCCCTCCTTGACTTCAACATTGAGATCAAGGGCGGTAACAAGAAGTGCTCCTACGTCAACGGCCAGTGGAGCGAGGGAACTGGCTGCACCGTAAGTTATTGTTGTCCCCTTGTGACATCGGTGAAATACTGACATTCTGTTGTAGACTGCTGCTTCTGAAGGCCAAAAGATTACTGTCCGATACTTTTAGAAGAGTGCTACTTGACGAAGTCAAGTAGGATGTGCGTTTTTGGAACTTCTTGTCAATATTCTGGGTGATAGAGCTTGGGACCTTTCGGCCGCGGGCCACGGACGAGCGCAAGCTGTTGGGCCTTGGTTGATTATATCGATAAGGTGCGCGGCGGCTGGCATGAGCAGGCTTTCTCCAATTTCTTGAGCCGGATTGAATCTTTTGGGAACGCTGGATGAGCAAGGACCTAAGAACGTTCCGACAGCCGATCTACTGGCTTGTCTTGTTCTCAGCGTCCTTTTCTAACAGTATTTGTTTTACTTTATTTTCTTATGTCAGCAAGTACTCCATATATTGCATTTTGGCCTGTTTCTTACATTGGACTCCTCACGGAAGGATCATGCCCTGAGCCATTGTTTGGCGACAGACGAATGCAGCCAGCGATTGTCAATTTTGCATTGGGAGGAGCCCTCAAGGTGTTTTATACCCCTAACCGAAGAGATGGCGATGGAAGAATCTTTTTGGACAGCAATGAGATCAAGTGGTCAACGTCGTTGGGTCCTGGAATAGAAATGCCCCCTCTTTGAGCTTAGCTTGTCTATGTAATGTCTGTGATTTGGATAGTGTATAGTGTCTTTTAAGTACGATAATTGCATTCTTTGGTAGCACTTCTTTGAAATTGTGAGGTGACAGACTGTTCTTTGATCGACATGCTGGATGAATGAATGAGTGGTCGTTGGACGGGATAGAATAGTCCCGTTCCGTGATGGTCTTAGTTAGAGAACGTCTTGTTCCCCAGACGCCACATGCGTTCACCACCTTGTTCCAACCTCTACCAACCACAATGTAGCATGTTGCCGCACTGCTGCTGCATGTGACCCTTGATCGGAACCAATCCTGGTTACCTTATGGGTGCGTCTACTCGTGTGCCGCTCCGTGCGCCATCTTAGATCACGAAGGGTAAGGATACATCTTGACAGGCCTCTAATACCTAATAGTAAGCTGTCATTTCCAGTGGCCAGTGGCCAACTGTTGTTGTCTAGACACTTTCTAAGAATGCCGTTGAGAGTACAAGACGCTGGGCGCAACAGCAAAACGACAACTGTAACGGTGGAGGTTGACATCCAATGTATGAGGATGTTGGCTTGGCAGTTGGCTGCAGCCCAAGGTTGTATCTGTTTGGTGACAAAACCAGTCATATTTTGATACTGGACATTGATAAAGATTAAAAAAAAAAAAAAAATACAGCCAAATATTACCGCTAAAGGCGCATACCTGCAGGTCGCCTTCTAGTGGCGCATCACGATCCCATGCTTTCATCGTCATTGACTCCACATTATAATGTTTTACCCGGAGCCCATTTGTTTAAATACCTATCTCAGACGGCCTGCCCGTTGTAAGTGACAGCAGTCAGATTCTCCCACCTCACTCACTTCCGGTTCCTTCAAACTTCGGCACACCGAGCATGTCGCTGAACCGTGTTCAAAGCATCGAGACGTTGACCGCTCCGCCCGGCCATGGCGCTTCGATTGAGAGGAGGGGGAGCGATGCGAGTTTGCGCGTCCGACGCTTGACTTTCAATCCTGTTCCCCAGGACTTCGAAACGGCTTCGTTGAGGCCAGATGAGCAGCATGCTCAGACTGTTGGGGCATTTGAGGTTCCTCAGTGGAAGCGATTGCGTGAGTTTTCACTTATCAATGGATTGGATGTGTAGATAAGAAACCTATACTAACAAGTGAATCTAGTCCAGATTGGTGCCGCAGTTGTACACTGTCTCTTCGCTGCGGGCATAGGCAAGTCTCTTATCAAGACCTTGTCATCCATGGTAAAGTTACTAACGCTGTTTAGTCTTTGGCTATGCTGCCATCAAGCCAGTCCTAAAGCTTGAAGGTGCATATTCTGACGTTTGCAAGCTCAGCCACTATCAAAGCCCAGCCATTGATACAAACGCTATCTCTGATGATCCCCAGGACACATGCGTTGAGATCAGGCTTAACCTGATGTTCACAGTCGCTGCTGTTGGGACAAACGTTGCAGCTCTTCCTGTTGGCGCAATTCTCGACCATTTTGGTCCTCGTGTATGTGGCTTGCTTGGATGTCTCTTCCTAACGATAGGCACATTACTTATGGCATATGCTGGATCCCTACCTTTCGACGGTCTTCTCCCCGGATACTTGTTCCTCGCTCTTGGGGGTCCATTCACATACATCTCGTCTTTTCAGCTTTCCAATGCCTTCCCACGACACTCAGGTCTCATTCTTGCGCTCTTGACCGGCGCTTTCGACTCTTCGAGTGCATTGTTTCTCGTTTATCGTCTGATCTACAATGCCACAGAGGGCAACTTCACCCTGCGCAAATTCTTCCTCGTCTACCTGATTGTCCCTGCTGTGATATTCGTCAGTCAAATTGTTGTCATGCCTGGACAGTCTTACAAGACTGTCGGCGAGCTTGTCGACCAGGCTGCGGAAGCGGATGAAAACATTGTTGTGCACTCGACATCGAGCACGCAGCAGGAGATTGACGAGCATACAGCTTTGCTCCGCGATGAGCGTCGTGAAGAGAGGGAAAGGCGCGAAGCTGTTGTACATGATATCGAGAACCTCCTAGGTTCGTCCAAGGGTGATGATCAAGTTGAGGCCAAGGAGAGACAGCATGTTGCATCCGGTGTCTGGGGAGTCCTCCACGACCGCACTGTGGTAGATCAAATCCGCTCTCCTTGGTTCATCCTCATCTGCCTTTTCACTGTCGTTCAAATGACACGCATCAACTTCTTCGTCGCGACCATTCGACCGCAGTACGAAGCCATCTTTGGCGACCACGATCGTGCTGTAAGGATCAATACTTTCTTCGATGTAGCCTTGCCAGCAGGTGGAATATTTGCGATTCCCTTCATCGGAACAGCGCTTGACCATGTCAGCACTGTTCTTGTGCTATCGACACTCGTTGCATGTGGCACGCTCATTGGTATCTTGGGCGTCCTGCCCTTTGAGTGGGCAGCATATACAGGCATTGCACTCTTTGTCTTGTACCGCCCATTTTATTACACTGCCGTGTCCGACTACAGTGCAAAGGTGTTTGGTTTCCGAACCTTCGGAACTGTGTATGGCCTCATTATCTGCCTCTCGGGCTTGTTGAACTTCTCACAATCTGGCCTGGATGTTTTGTTCCACGAGACCTTCAACGGTAACCCAGTGCCCGTTGATATTATGCTTCTTGTCATAGGTCTTGTCATTGGTGTTGCACTTGTGGTGTTTGTGGCAGCTCAGCTGCGAAAGATGCACCAGAAAGCCAGAGCTGGCATTGCCCAGTGATGCGGTAACAATTTCTTGGCTGCACTCAATTTTCTTTTCACTATGCTGAGTATTGGTTAGCGATTAGCAATATTGCACATTCCTGATCTTAGAAAAGCGTCCCAAAGGATAGTGCAAAAAAGGGGGTATTGTAAGTTCCAACATTGTATTTGAAGATCGCCATCTTCGAAAAGTGTATCTAGAACTACAGGCCATAATCACCATACTTGGATGCGACTATCAATAAATGGCCATAAAGAAGCAGTTGACAGCGCCATTTCCATTAAGAATTATATATAGGAGGAAATACACCAAAAAAAAAAGCGTGATGCCTGATCTGCCTAACCATGGAACAAATTTCGCCACTGATATAGGGCTCTTCAATGTGGTGTTTTCTGTTGCGTGCGAGTCACTAATTTAGTAGAAACCTGAGGATGGTAAGTAACAAAACCTGCACGTGAGGGATCTTATGGCATCTACTTTCTACGATATGCTGGCAACGGAGCATGAGTGGGTGGAAGGCTGTCGGATAGATATCCACTGTCTGGGTTACTTTTGTAGAAGCCGATGGAATGGACTATTCTCACATGTTGGCTTGTGACTGGACATAGCTATACGCATCCTGCTGATTCGTCAGGTTGTCCAACTTCTCTTCCTTGACACACATACATAGTAATAGCCAGTATTGTGTTAGATGGAAATCCATCATGAGGGGATCTCTGTGCTCATAGCTGGGTTCTCAGAGGAAAGAAGTACCTGAAAATATGGGAATGCTAATGGGCTGAAGTTGACAACCCAAGGCTATGTACAAGCATGCGAACAGCGTTGGATGACTCTGATTTGGCTGCTTGATAATGTAAAGGAAGTCTACCGAATGGGCCAAAGAATGATCAAATAAACCAATACAGTATATGGCGAATAGGAGTCTAGAATCTGACGTCGACCAGAGCCAGGTTCTAAGTGGCAGTGGGTTTCATAAAGCAGTATTACACCACTCTAAGTACGCAGAGACCAACAGTCTAATATGTATGTACACGAAATCCTTCTTGTTCACGAATGGCTCTACTCTTTGATGACAGGAGTGTGGAAAGGATCCTCGCCACAGAACTGACCCCAGCCGTCAAGTTGAGCAGAAGCCCACTTCAAGATTTTGCTGAAACCCTTATCCTCGCCCTTGGGGGTGCAGTAGTAGGCATTGTCTGACGAACTGAGCTTACCGGTTTTCTCAACAGAAGGAGGATACTCAATCTGGAGTACAGGCTTGCCAGCGTCGATGTATGTTTGGAAGTCCTCACAGAATGGCCAGCTCTCCTCGCCAGGATCCGTAGTGCCGCGGCAAGACTCGAGAACAGCAAAGTCAAGGGTTGAGACAAGGTCCTCAGCAACTTCAGGTGCATTCTTTTGGCCCACGAGAAGACGGTTACCATCCTTGGTCTTGATTGAGTGGGCGTACTCTGCGAGATTCTTGAGATATTTGATGTAGTCGGATGGCTTCAGTTTGAAGCCTGTAGGGTCCTCGCCATCCTGCTGCCAGGCGTCGACGTTGTCAGGGTCCACTGCATCGCATCCAATCTTTGCAGCAACGTCAAGGCGTGCTTTCTGAAGCTTGAGCACTGTTGAATCACGAATGTCGAGGTACCACTCCTCACTGTCATAAGGATAGGCCAAGGAATGACCAATAACGGCCTTGGGAAATTGTTTGATATCCTTGTCCCATGACTGAAGAGCACCGGCGTTGAAGTAGCAGATCACGAACTTTCCAGCACCCTGTATGAAGATTTCAGTATACTGCCATGTTATTTGGACTTGGAACAGCCACGCATTACCTTGAGCAGGGGAATCATCTCTGGATAATCGCGGCCATGTCCCATATCGATGTCCCATACTTTGGCTTTGGACGGGATCAAATCGGCGACGGTATCGTGCTTGATAGGCTGGTGTAGGACAATTTCCCATTCCACGCCGGGTTTGAAATCGGATAGCTCAAACAAGGCTGAAGAAGCTGCGGCGGCAGGCTTTGCCTCTACCGCCTTGACATGGTTAGCAACCCGACATTCGTCCTTACGACGAGCGCTTACAGAGCCGCCAATAGCCAGAACAGTAAGGGCAATTCGATTGAGAGTAACCATGGTTACCGATCTCGTGTTTCAAGAAGATAAAACAAGTGTTGAACAGAGGGAGCTATTGCCGCAAAAGTCCTGGGGAGGTATTGGAATGGAGACGAGTTCTTGAATGAGGAAATGTATGTGGACTTTGATAAGTTGAAGAAATCCCTGCGTGGAATGATTATGACCATATCCGTACAACGTCGTAATGTAAAAAGTTGCAGAGAAACCAAGCTCTGTATTATACCCTGACTTGACTCTACTGCTATTCCACTCGCTGTCCTCAATATCATATCATTCCTTGGCAACTTGCCTCGTGCTCAAAGGGTGAGCTGGTGAGGTGGATACGGAAGGATTCTGTGGAACATGATGCAACAAAAAAACCCAACCATCATGCCCTGACACAGCCGTCTTCTGGGCATGATTTTCTAATGGCTTATTCAACATTCATAAATAACAAGGGACGAAAGTTCCAAAGGTGCTGAATATGGTCACGCCAGAGGTGGAATAGTGGGTCGAGAGCGAAACCATCTCCAGTAGGAGATGAACTACATCCTTGTTTGAAATGCCCTTGTTGTGATGATCCTTTACAGATAAGGCGTTCAGGTGATCTTTTCAGCTCAGCTTTGACGAGCTCAAATAAGCTTACTACGGAGTTAATATTATGTTCCGTACCTGGCTCGAGCTTTATCGGAGAAGTGAAAGTGACCCACGAGTCACTGACAATACATGACACTATTGACATTGAGGTGTTGAGAAGTACTCCGTGATTCAAAGTTGCATGGCGGTCCCGATTGCAGCTTCTCGGGCTTTCCGAACCTCGTCGCGTCTCTCTTCGTTTTCCTCCTTCAGCCGTTCCTCAACATCGTCTCTAATGGCACCAAGATCTGGCGGTATTGTCTGTAGCTGAACGCTTGGTGCTGCTTCCACAAACCGGAGCTGTTCCGTAACGTGTTGCACAATCTCTTGCAGTCGCTTGGGGGGGTTCCGATTCACTCGCGGCTCGCCCAGGATTTGTTCCAGAGTAGGGAAGAGGGTATCCTGCCGGAAGTGATCACGCCATGGGGCATGTTCTGGAAGAATGGGGTTGATCTTGTCTTGAGCATTAATAGCAATACTCGTCTCGTAAGTCCATGCCCTCGCCACGTTCCTGGGAGTGTAGCCGCCGCCTCCAAAGAGGATCATGGGGATACCCATTTCTTTGCAGAACTTGACACATGCACCGTGGCCTTGAACTTGGAGGTTGAAACGGCCCAGACGATCGCCGGCCAAAGAATCCGCACCGCATTGCAAAGCGATTGCACCCGGTCGGAATTTCTCCACAATCTTGCCAATGACAGTGTTGAATAAATGATCGTATTGCTCATCAGTGATACCGTCATTCAATGGTACGTTGAAAGCATGGTGAGCGCCAGGATTATGCTCGCTCTTAGGGCCGTTGTCATCGAGGGCGCCAGTCCCCGGGAAGAAGTTATTCGGGTCATATTTGTGAAAAGAGACGGTCATGACTCTGTCCGTTGAAAAAAAGGCTTCTTCAACACCGTCTCCATGGTGCACATCGATGTCGATGTATAATACTCGCGGGTAGTATCGAAGGAGTTCAAGAATGGCGATCACGATGTCGTTGATATAACAAAATCCAGACGCTTCAGACCTCTTGGCATGATGAAGACCGCCACCCCAGGAAATGGCGATATCAGACTGCTTAGAGCAAATCTTCCTGGCCGCGTCAAGAGATCCGCCGGCTGATAATGAACAGTAGTTGAAGAGGCCGTCAAAGAGGGGACAATCAGAGCCACCAAGGTTAAACTTGAGGTCAACCCCTTGGTTCTCGAGATCCCGAGGTACTGGCTCAGGAAGTACAGTACCAAGGAAATCTAGATAGTCGGAAGAGTGGAATTCTGCAAGCTCCTCATATGTGGCGGCTCTGGAGATGTAGTTATCCATCGCGAATGACATTCCGTAAGAGTAGATGAGACTCTTGGACAGGGTTAATCGCCACGGTTTCATGGGATGAGTGACTCCAAAATGATGCTTCTCAATGTCCGGGTTGCAGTGGAAGGAAACGTTGTAACCTTTGGGCCTCGTGATACCAGACTCTTCAGCCAGACGCTTGCACTTGTTGTAGAATTTAGCATTGTCCATCTCACTAGCCAGTCCCAGTGGTTGATTGGAGAACTCCTCAACGACCGAGTTATCACGATCCTCGTCTGCAATGTGGGGAAGGTAGTTGGGTTTAGGCACCCGGTACCTATATGAGTCCATGTCCATCGTTGGAGTACAAGAAAAGAGGTGCTTTGGTATGGGTGTGCGACGTATCAAGCAGTAGGTAGTTAGTCCAGATGAAGAGTGACTTGAATAAGTCGTTGCCGTGTATCTGATACCAGATAATGATGATAGTGTGGCTGTGAGATATCGATAACACAATAGATAGCTTGATACGGCTGCAAAGCTCTTCAAGTGATGATTTTTGACCCAAGTTTGGGTGGTGGTCGAGATGTGTGGTATGGGTAATGTAGTTGGTGAGATAGATAGCTCCAGATCTCACGAGTCGAAAATGCACAAATGCAAGCGGTTGGCAGTTGGAAGGCCCCACTATTACCTCAGGTTGTGGATGGTCTCTTGAGGCTGGGGGAAGTATAGCCAAGTCCCTTTCAGTGCAGCTACTAGGATCCGTGTGAGTTCATTAGAGACACAAGCGACTTAAAAATACCTACCTTCCTATAGGGAAAGTCGCCAGGAACCAACCTGCAGCTTCTATCTCTTAGTGCATCTTGGCCGAACTATGCCAGAACGGTCATAGCACGGGCGAATTTGAGCTGTGGCTTCGATGCCTACCTACTACCTTAGTACCTAAGTGGCTGTGAGAAACAACCTGTGGAACAGGCCGGCTTAGAACTCCGTGGGTTCCCTACTACCTAGTTCCCCAACTCTCAAAACTTACACCAGAAACGCCTCCACCTTTTCCCTTCATGCATCCTAATTCTGCCTGCCCATCCTTCTCAAATAGAGCACCCCCCAAGAGAACACATTCGCGGCTGCTGCTTTTGATTCCGGCAGAGCAGAGCAAAGCAGAGCAGAGCACCGCGACCTCCACTACTCTCAAGTCAAAAGAAAGGACAAGCGAGCAAGTGGGTATCGAGGTGAGCCGAGCCCGAGTCATTCATGTCGAGTTGCACTCCGCGTTCTTCTTTGGGACTTGCTTGATTTTGACCCAAAACATTGCCTTTGTCTTTGCCTTCACCTTCGTCTTCACCTTCGTCTCGCTTCGCCTTGCCTCGCAGGTTGCTGGAAACAGCCATTTACTGCCCTGCTATTTTCTCTTACCATTTGGCTTCGGCACTCGTATCCGTCAGGCTATGGGACCACTTTGATTTTCTAGACCCTCGCCCTTGTCCTGTCTGCATCAAGCCAGCCAGCCATCATCAGATCGATACTTTTCATCTGCATTGTCATCAATCTGTTTTTTTCCTCTTATTCCCTTTCATCCCCCATATATGCTGGTCTCGCCACATATCGCTGCGCATTCGTTTCCACTGTCACACGGGTCTCGGGCACCAGGCTTTGACGTTACCGCATCTTTGTCTTAGCTAGTATTGCTCGACCCTCTTATCGTTAACAATCATGCCTAGAGACGACTTGTCTATCGACTTCGTCAAGAGGATGCCTCAAGCCGAAGCCCTCGACCCTGGCTTGATCCTCGACGACTGGATTAACCGTGTCCAAAACCTCCCCGAAGAGATTCGCTTCATACAAGAAGAGGTCGCCGATAAGGATCGTCAATACTCCGAGTGCTTACGTACGATCGAGGACCGGGACGGGAAGATCCAGAAATGGATCAAGACAAACGGAAGCCATGAGCCAAACCCTAAGGAGGACCTTCTTCGAAAACAAGTCCGCGATAGTTTTGCGCAAGCCGACCAACTATCGAAAGAGAAGATCGCATTATGCCAGAAGATGCAGATCATAGTAGACAAGCATCTCAAAAACCTGGACAGCCAAATCAAGTTGCTTTACGACCGAGCCGAACCTGGCTTTACCGATCCTGACGAAGTCCCCTCATTACTCCGACCAAGCGCTGCAAATCATACTGCCCCTTCGATCCGGGCCATAAACCCAGCAAGTCATATGACCACCGCTGCTGGTCCCTCAACTCCTCTTGCCGCTGCGCAAACCTCTTCCAATCCCGCACTTGCTCGACTTCCCAACCACCCCAATGTTCGCCACGCACAGTCTCAGCAGCACGCAGCGTCTGCCCCGGCAACACCGGCAGCCAGCATGATTCTGAATCGACAAAGAGAAGGTTCTGCAGGACCTGCGACAAAGCGCGTTGCTCGAGTGAATCCTGCTTTGGGGACTATACCAACTACATCAAGCGGTCTGGCAAGACACTCATCACTCGGACCCGGCACCCCTAAGGGTAGTGCCATCGTAGGGTCTGGTCTTGCGAGGGCAGGTAGCGCAGGTCCAAGAACCGGGTCTGTGAAGTCAACAGGACCATTGAGCGGCCGTCGAGGTACGCCAACAGGTGGAATCCGGAAGAAGTCTGCCAACAAATCGAACCTTTCACGGGTTAAGAAAGCCTCAAATCGAAATTCGCCTGCGCCAACGAATGATAGTGAACTTTCGGATGTCGACAGTGGCAGCGGAGAGGACGAAGATGGTGCCGACGGTCGGTCAAGAAGCACACCCGTGGCCGATGGTAAGGATGTTGACGGAGATGATATAATAGGAGATGCTGACGATGACGACGAAGAGGCTGGCGATGACAAGAAGTATTGCCTCTGCCATAACGTGAGCTACGGGGACATGGTCGCGTGCGACAATGACAATTGTCCGTATGAGTGGTTTCACTGGTCATGCGTCGATCTCAAGAGCGAGCCCAACGGGACATGGTACTGCCCTAAGTGTAGAGAAAAGCTGCAAAAGAAGGGCAAGTAGGAAGGCCCTGAAACCACTGAGCTTTACCTTCCATATCCCAACTGAGGTGCTCCGGACTTGCTAAGGAAAGCAATCCGGCCAGAGGTGGCGTTTGGGAAAGGCATATAATATACCCATGTTGCTTTGAGCAGTATCGTTTCTGGTACTCGAACGCAGAAGCTGAAAATGCACGCATTGCTTAACCCCTCTCGGGACGTGACGATATACTTGGGATTCAATATGGCTATGTTGGTCCAAGAACGCACTGAACAACCCCTCTTCGGACCCCCTCTACCTCTTCCCTGAGCTGTTCCACTCGTGCTCCTTTCTGACGTGCTTTGTCAATAAAGTCATCCAGTGAACCACCGACCCCAAAGTATAGGCGTTTTGCTCCTACAAGAGCAGCCGCTTCATTTCCATCGGTCTTCTTCTCCCTTTCCAGTATTAAGAAGAGGGTTTCGAGGAAGGCCTGAAGGGCAAATGGAGAATAAATTGTTTCTGCACCGAGAAGCAGCGTGCTCCTTTCTTGATCATGGCTTGAGGGCAGGGCGTATATGAGATCGACGAATTCCTGTGACCAAGCGCCAGACACAAACGAGAGAGTGACGTTCGCTTCCTTGAGTGATTGTTCGAAGGCGGCGAGAACATCACGGCCTAGCTCAACCTCGCCCTCAATTGAGAAAGCTTGTTGAAGAGCAGGTATCTGAGGGTTGTTAAGGGCCCATGAAAGAATAAAGTTGGGCAAAGTGACAAGCTGGAGAACTGAAGGGTTATAGTCCGCCATGATAAGAGACAGAGGCTTCCTTTCGGATCCTGAGGCCATGGCCCATTGGAAGACTGCCAAAGATGGCAGAGCTGTACCGCATCCAAGCTGTTGGTCTAGGGTTAGATATGTCACGTTGCAAGTATAATTTATTTCACATACCTCCATTACTCGAAGACCCTTTTGTCCCAGTGCTGAGGTGACGTTATTCGCAGCCAGTACCTTAACTAAATCGACACTGCTCTCCCAGCTTTTAAAACCGCCCTCGTAAACACCCGTTTTCACATCATGGCTTCCCAAGCCTTCAGACTGAGCGCCAGCAACGTCTTCCTCCTCGGCCATTAGCTGTACCCTCACGTCCCATAACTCTCTCCGCGGTAGCTGGATAGTAGTTCCGTCATCGAGCGTCACATCTAGAATGCTATAGGCGATCTTGGACGGTAGCTGAACAAGAAAATCAGAGAGTTGGTGAACAGTTGGTGGGAGCTGAGGCTTTCCTGGGACGGGAAATGCGCTGGTGGTGGCTGCAGCAGCTGTCGCGGGCTTGACGACAGATGGAGTCTTCTCATCATCGGAGATATCGTCACCGGCGAAGCCAAATGAGAACGACATTGTGAAAGGAGTTTTGCTCACCACTCAAGGAGCTTTTGAGACTTTGATAGGTACAGATAAAAAGTTGTAAGTGTGTGCACTGTGTAGTGGGGCATCAGAGGCGGATAGGCAGTGGTAGCGTGCTGGACACTACTAATCTACCTACCCTAGCTACCTTATATGCTTGAGAATCTCGACTCCCGCAATTCTGTCCGATATCATTCTCAACGACTCGTCTTTACCAGCCAGAAACACAGCCAGTGAGTTCTTGTTTCTATATGCCAATAGCACGGACTCACTTATAGGCCCTGCAAGAATTCATTCAATATGCGTTCATCTTTGTCGAGACTGGCATCAGCCGCAAACACACAACGAGGCCTTAAGCCCAACCCTACTGCCCTTCTTCCTCCCATTCCTTTATACCGCCGACTCCTCCGTGCCCATCGCAAGCATTTGCCAGCTGAGATGAGAGTTCTTGGAGATGAATACATCAAAGCTGAGTTCAGGGCGCACAGAAAGGTGGATAACCCGGCTCATCTGGTATGTTTCTTGTAAACGACCCAGCAAGAACACCATGCTAACCAGTTCAAAGATTGGCTTCCTAACAGAGTGGCAAATGTATGCGCAAAAAATTGAAGGCGATCAGTGGGTGGGTGATAAGTTAGATGAGCAGAAGCTCTCAAAGATGAGCGGTAAGTAAGAATGAACAATGCACGAATCGTTGAATTTAACAACTAGCAGATGAACAAATACACCAACTATACGAGTTGATGCAGGCCATTCAAAACCGAAGCAAGGAAGGCGGCGAGCAAGAGTCATAGATATGAGACGTCTCATGTAGACAGACCAAGACTGAAGAATTTATGGTCGAATAACGAAGGCTAAGGGATAACTCAACGTTTTGGTCATGTCAATGACTTGAACATGTGTTTCTCAAAAAATTGTACACTATATAGACCAGACCTTTTCTGATGTATCGACTACAAGTATGCCTTTACTAAAGAAATAACACCACCGAATATCTACTTGCTTCCCATTGCTTCAACAATCCATGTAGCTTGGATGGCGCTGACCTTCTTGGCATAATTCTTATTTGTGTAGACGTGCTCGAGGAACATGATGGCTTCTTTCTTCTGCCCATGCAATACGCTGGCAGGATGGATGGCAACAACGTGTTTGCCTTGGATCGTGACAAAGCTGCCGTCAGGGGCCAGCATAGCAGTTTTCAGAGCGAATCCTCTCAAGAAACACTTGAGGACTTGCTCAGCGCGTTCTGGGGAGATGGGAACGAATGGTTGAGGATCAGCCGGTGGAGCCTCATCCAGGAGCTTCTCCTTAAGACACATGCCCCGAAGCTGCCTTCGAATGTTCAGAGCCTGTTTCATGTTTCTCATGTTGATCTTCCGTTGCTTGCACCAATTCACTCTGTCTGCATTCTCCGCGGTGTATTGTTGGATGGTGGTAAGATATGTGATGATGTCCCCCTCGCGGCGTTGGAGTTCTTTTCTGAAGTTTTCCACCTCTTCTTGGGCCTGTTCGGACTGGATACTCAGGAATATATCCTCTCCAGATGTGATACAGGAAATTATGTCGATCGCCTCGACCACACAATCAAACTCGGGATCCGCAGCAGCAAGCAAAACAGCCCCCAACGGCGCAGAAATAGGAAAGCGAGCCATTGTTTCACCAGTCCTCGTGATAGTGCCATCATCATTGAGAGCACCAAGGAAATGTAAGTGAATCAGAGCTTTCTCGATTGCTTCTGTCTCTGGGGGATCCATGAGAGGGAAAGCAAGGACATCCTGGATTCCTCGTGCCTTCATGGTCAGAACTGCTCCCAGGACGTCGTTACGAAGAATCTCGGGAAGATCGGAATCTTGCAGTGTCTTGAAGGCTGATTCTGGGTATAATCTAAAGCACTTTCCGGGTCCCTCACGGCCTGCTCGACCAGTTCGCTGTACAGCGGAAGATTTCGAGATAGGTTTCGCAAGAAGAGATTCCATGCCCAGGCGTGCTCGGTATTGCTTCACTTTTGCTTTACCGCAATCCACCACATATCTGACTCCGGGAACAGTGACTGATGTTTCGGCAATATTTGTCGCCAGCACAATCTTACGCGTAAAATGAGTTTTGACAGGTAAGAAGGCCTCGCGCTGCGCGTCCATCGAGAGTTGACCGTACAAAGGGAACACCTTGATCTTGGGGACATTAGAGGCAAGAGTTTCCGCATATTCCTCAATCAGCTTTTGGGCAGCCTCAATCTCTTCCTGGCCGGTCAGGAAAGCAAGGATATCTCCCGGGAGCTGCTCTTGCAAGTGTATCTTGTAAATCGTCTTGAGAAGGGCGTCCTGGATGTCGGGTACAGGTCGCGGTTCATGGTGAATTGTGACAGGGTACTGTCGTCCCTTGATCTTAAGAACTTGCAGTGTGCTTTCGCCCTCGTTCTTTCGGCGCACGTCCTTGAAGAACTCTTGAATGCCCTCCACGTCTGCTGTCGCACTCATGATGACCACTTTGAGCGGGATGCCCCCGCGGCTAGACAAGTCGCTTGCAAGAATCTGCTTCAGGAAACCAACTAGAAGATCAACATCAAGGCTGCGTTCATGAATTTCGTCGACCACGATAGCGCTGTAGCTGCTGAGATTGGGATCCCGCAGAAGTTCCTGAAGCAACATACCCTCAGTCAAGAATTTGATCCTTGATCCCTTCGGGACCTGGTGGTCAAATCGAACCGAGTAACCGACCAAGCCATCTCGTCGACCTTTCCCTAGAGGGGTTCCGGCTTCTTGAGAAACACGATGAGCCAAAGTTGTGGCGGCGACTCGTCGAGGCTGCGTGATTGCGACCATGCCACCCACTGATATCTCGTCGCCTGAGCCGGCGATCTTGATCTTTTGGCGTCTACACCAGGTCTCCTGATAGAGAAATTGAGGAACCTGAGTACTTTTTCCAGAACCTGTCTCACCCACTAGCACGAGCACATCGCTGCCGGACTTTCGCAGGGCCTTCTGAATGTCCTCGCGGTACTGCCATATTGGAAGCTCTTTGCGTGTCTTGAGCAATTTGGGATCATCCCGCGTCCGAGACCTATCGCCTGTATCGCACCCTCTGGAAGGTTTCTTGTGCTCTGGCCTTTGCTTCTTTGCTTCTGTGGTGGCGACAGGGGCAGCTAAAGGGGTGGCTACAGGGCTGTCTGATGCTGATGTTGAGGAGGCTATGGGTACAGCCTTTGAGGGCGCTGTGAGATACCCTTCGAGGGAAATTGTTTTCCCCCCTATCGTAATAGCATTTGAGTCTGTCTTATTTTTGGTTTTCCTCTTTTTCGCCGGAGGAGGGCCAGAATTATCAGTCGCCATGGTGCAGGGTAAAAAGTTGGCGACGGTGGAAATTTTCACTTGGATCCAATGTCGATAGCTGGGAGGCAATCGCTGGGATCAGAATTATACCTGACCAAACCGAAACAACCCCGACAAAATAAATATGCTATGAAGCTGTGTTTCAAATAACACAGATGTTCCACTTATTTAATTCATGCTCTCTCATTGTCTCCACCAAGCCAACTACTTACTAAACCTACTATGTACAATCTGTCAATCATCTTGTTATTAAAACCATGGCTTATTACGCCGTATCCTATAATCACAAGAGCTCAGAGAATTACGAAAAGGACTGATTCGGAAAATTCTTAGTAAATTATATCGTCAAATATACTTTGCTTTCGCTGGATACAATCAAACTCAAACACCAGAAATCTTGATTTAAACTCTCGGTCAAGGGCAGATATCCTGGCCTGATATGTCTCTGGTTTCCTCATCCTGAGTTACCAATGCTAGAGAGTCGCCGCTCAGTGCATGATTGCGTACGATAGAAACTGAGTTTGAAGATAAAATATCAAATAACCAAATCTTGAAGCGTCGGAGTTCTCTCAACATCTATCTCATAGGTGGTTAAACATTTACGTGTTTGTCCCTAACCAATATAGCTATTATGGGTCGTTTGGTTAAATACTCTATGTCAATGAATGCGCAGAGCTCTCGTTGACTAAGTCAAGATTCAGAAGCGAAATAAAATACCTTGGACGCCTGATACATAGCTTCAAAACCCACAAGCATCAATGTCCGTCTTCTTAGACGATTAAACAGTGATTCGATTTTCATGTATACATGCCCCCTTAGAGTGCTCCAAAATCCAGATTCTTTTGAGTTGGTTTATACAATTGATCACAACCAAGACGGGACCTAACCTGCAGTTCTGTAATGGAAACATCTAAATAGACATATTAAATCTCAATGTGCTCATCGTACCCTGTCCCAACACAGTTGCCATACATCATCGTGTTATCAATTGCTCCTTACTTGATACGGGCCAATCGTTCTCGGTTCATTCTCGTGGCATCGTCCACAGCATCGCTCTGTGTCAAGTCAGTAGAACGATCTTTGGTTTAAAACTGAGAACACCACTTGCCTTGTTCATAATACGATCGATCTGCTTGTTCTGCGAGTCGACCTCCTTGCCAATAGCTCTGCCGACCATATTCATCATGGACACTTGGCCCTCAAGCTCGGTGATGCCATCATCGATCTGGTCCTCAAGCTCATCCGCTCCCTCCTCATCGTCAAGGTTGAATTTGCCGTAGTCCTTCTTACGAGGTTGCTGTCGTGGCCGGCCCACGGTGTTCATGTCTCTGAAGTTGCCTTCCATGCGCTGGTTGGCTTGGAAACCATCGCGGCGGGTGGCTTCTCGTTGTTCTCGTTCAGATCGATGGCGTGCCATGACCTCATCGTCCGCCTTTTGCTTGCGTTGCTTGGAGGTAAAAGGGTTGCTGACATGCACGGCAAACATACTTCCGTTGAGTGTCTTGAGTTCGGCAGCCCTGTCTTGAGCGATCTTGTTCTGGTTGGCAGCTAGATCAAGATGCTTTTCCGTGTTGTTCAATCGCTCTCCTTGAGCTCCCAGGCGAGCCAGGGTGGCGCGACCGACTTCGTTGGCTTGCCGGGCCATTTGTACCGACCGATTGACAGAGGATGCGCTGTCCTGCTGAAGTTGTCGCTTCTCCGCCAGAATAGATTGATATTCAGCTTCTTCTTGCTCCTCAGCGGTCAACTCGCGCTCCTCACCATAACCGCCGTACGAGCCGCCATCGGCTCCTGACTGTGGACCGTTGTTGGTAGGCTGTTGCTTCTGGGCCTGACGTTCCTGAGCACCAGCGAACAAGTTGTCTCTGTTGGTGTCAGGCTCGCTGGGTCCAAACCCACCATAGCCACTGGGGCCTCGTGCACCAGCAGCTGGGCCGGGGCTGTTGTATCTGTTCTGAGGAGCAGAGTCGCCATATCGATTGCCACCATAGCCGCCGCCGGATCCGTATCGGTCAGCACCGTATCCGCTCGGAGGCTGGGGCTGAGAGTTGAAGCTTCCTTGCGTAGGAGCGGGAGCACCGTAGGAATTCGGAGCCTGGGCGGCAGGGCCGTTGTTGAGACCAGCACGGGCTTGCTGGTAAGGAGTTACGTTGGCATACTTTGCGTCGTCGGCATAGGGGTCTTTTCCGCCTTGTTTGGCATAAGGATTCTCGGAGGTACTGGACTGAGATGACTTCTTGCGACCAAAGAGGGCGTGGCGGTTGGCGTCATCACCATCATCGCCTTTCTTCCCAAAGCCAAACTTCTTCATGGCAAGATTTGTTGGATGTGGAACTGGATTGAGATACTAACGAGCTGTCACGTTTAATTGTGCCAGTGAGAAAGGAAATAAAGAATTACGAAAGTAATGGAAGGGCTGAAAGGAGAAGAGGATGGTAGTGCTGCCTTAAGAGAGGACCGATAGT